AAGATAAGATAAGATAAGATAAGATAAGATAAGATAAGATAAGATAATAGGGTTGTCACGATACTAAAATTTTCAACTCGATACCGATACTCAGGAAAATACTCGATACTCGATACCATTTTCGATACCACAAGTATAAAAACAAAGACCCCAAAATGTAACTGAATTTTGACAGGTTAGTGTCTTTCATTTCAAACTGACCTGTTACTGATGTTATGGTGGCTGGTGGCCCGAATTAATTACCCTAACCCTAACCCTAACCCTAACCCTGACCCTAATCCTGACCCTAATCCTAACTCTAACCCTGACCCTGCCCCTGACCCTAACCCTTCATAATTGTGAGAAACAATTTTGGGGTTAAACTTGTTTGGACTTATTGTGCAAACATATCTAACATCCACTATTTTAACATAATAATATGGATAGAGTTTAATTAAGTGTTTGAAAGATTAATTTCATTATTTTTAAATTAATGTCTATATTGCCATGATGCATTACTATTTTCTTACCTGGGATTTCCCTTTTGGTGACGTAATCAAAATGGCCGATTTGGATGTGGGCTGAGACGGATATGTACTTGATTAATGGTAGCATGTTATTATTAGCCATTAGCCGCAGCTAGCAGTTCAAGGCTAACGTCCCGTTAATGATCATAAAAAACGTAAATAAATACATAAATAAATCTGAAAGAAGGAGCAGGGGTATCGATACTTTTGAAAATGAGTATCGTATCCGGATACAACATTTTAGTATCGATACTTTTTTAAGTATCGATACTTTTGACAACCCTATAAGATAAGATAAGATAAGATAAGATAAGATAAGATAAGATAAGATAAGATTGTCATGAGGGGGGTCTTGAAGGGAGGACTCAGGTGCGGAGATGAGGGAAGACAAGGTTTATTATAACAAAACGGTGGAAGTCCAGACATGAGTACGAATCAAAGCTGTGGGCAAAGTATGAAAGCAATAAGCAAACAAGACTGTGGCAAAACTATGACAAAGTAACAAAATAAAGATTAACAAAACTGTGACAAGACTGTGGAAAAAACTGTGACAAAAACAAACCTGGCGTGGGGAAGACAACGGACTAGAGACGAAAACGCACTCGCACAAGACAAGGGGAAACAGGACTATTTAAACACATGAGGAGGGAAACCCCAGGTGAACACAATAGGTAATCATGACATGACGACACACCAGACGTGACAAAGATAAGATAAGATAAGATAAGATAAGATAAGATAAGATAAGATAAGAGCTTTATTGATCTCACAGTGGAGAAATTCACTGGTCACATATCGGTTAGAGTTCAAAAGGAGGAAAAGGTGCATAAAGTACAGCAAAAACAAACAAATATACAAGGAAGCAACACAGTGCAGAGATTTGAGTAACTAAAATATGTACAATCAATGATGCTCACACACAGTACACATATTACACATGTCAATAAATATAATACAATTGCACAGCAGTTGTTACAGTAGTTGTTATAGTAGTTATAGTAGTTGTTATAGTAGTTGTTATAGTAGTTGTTATTGTAGTTGTTATAGTAGTTGTTATAGTAGTTATAGTAGTTGTTATAGTAGTTATAGTAGTTGTTATTGTAGTTGTTATAGTAGTAGTTATAGTAGTTGTTATAGTAGTTGTTATAGTAGTAGTTATAGTAGTTGTTATAGTAGTTGTTATAGTAGTTGTTACAGTAGTTGTTATAGTAGTTGTTATTGTAGTTGTTATAGTAGTAGTTATAGTAGTTGTTATAGTAGTTGTTATAGTAGTTGTTACAGTAGTAGTTATAGTAGTTGTTATAGTAGTTGTTATAGTAGTAGTTATAGTAGTTGTTATAGTAGTTGTTATAGTAGTTGTTATAGTAGTAGTTATAGTAGTTGTTATAGTAGTAGTTATAGTAGTAGTTGTTATAGTAGTTGTTACAGTAGTTATAGTAGTAGTTATAGTAGTTGTTATAGTAGTAGTTATAGTAGTTGTTATAGTAGTTGTTATAGTAGTAGTTATAGTAGTTGTTATAGTAGTTGTTATAGTAGTTGTTATAGTAGTAGTTATAGTAGTTGTTATAGTAGTAGTTATAGTAGTTGGACAGAAATGATAAAGCTGAAAAGCTTTTCAGAATCAGAATCAGAATCAGAATAAGGTTTATTGCCAAGTAGGTTTTTAGACTTACAAGGAATTCGCCTTTTTGGTGTTTGGTGCACAACACAACACTTCTATGAGAAGCAAGAAATAAAATGTAGAAATAAAAATATAGGACAGAAATGATAAAGCTGAAAAGCTTTTCAGAATCAGAATCAGAATCAAAATAAGGTTTATTGCCAAGTAGGTTTTTAGACTTAAAAGGAATTTGCCTTTTTGGTGTTTGGTGCACAACACAACACTTCTATGAGAAGCAAGAAATAAAATGTAGGAATAAAAATATAGGACAGAAATGATAAAGCTGAAAAGCTTTTCAGAATCAGAATCAGAATCAAAATAAGGTTTATTGCCAAGTAGGTTTTTAGACTTAAAAGGAATTTGCCTTTTTGGTGTTTGGTGCACAACACAACACTTCTATGAGAAGCAAGAAATAAAATGTAGAAATAAAAATATAGGACAGAAATGATAAAGCTGAAAGGCTTTTCCTCTAAGAAAAGGCAGAAGTGACTATTTATGTGCGTGTTCCAGGTGATGGAGGCGGAGCAGGCCCGGACTCAGAGCGAGGCGGAGCACCGGAAAACCGCCACTAATTACAACGTCTGCATCAGCCAGATGAGGGCGCTAGAGAAGAAGCTGAAGCGCTCCATCAACAAGTCCAGGTTAGCCTTTAGCTGCCCTTATCAGAATCAGAAATACTCTAATTATCCAGGAGGGAAATTATTTTGGTCACTAGCTCCATAAATAAAACAGCGGCACATACAGTACATATATACATGTCTATACATATATATGTATGTATATATATACAAAATTCCACATAGAATATAGATACATATATACATAAATAACTATACGTATATACAGTGGGGGAAATAAGTATTTGAGCCCTTGCTGATTTTGCAGGTTTGCCCACTTACAAAGAATGCAACGATCTATAACTTTAATAATATGTACATTCTAACAGTGAAAGACAGAATCCCAAAGAAAATTCCAGAAAATCACATCATATGAATTTATAAAAATTGATAACCATCTGATGAGGAAAAATAAGCATTCTTTGTAAGTGGGCAAACCTGCAAAATCAGCAAAGGCTCAAATACTTATTTCCCCCACTGTATACATAAATAACTATATGTCTATATATAGGTCTAAATAAGTGGTGGTGATAATGTAAATAATTAAGTTTGACTCTCAGAGGGAGCTTTTATCCCAGGAGACACAGGCCAGGAAAGACTTCCCTCCCTGTGTCTCCTAGTGCTGCTCTTGGTGGGAATTGTTGGATTTCTGTAAATAACTCAGAGACTGAGCTGCTCTGGTTGGAAAGCTGTGATATAACTAATGTTGTTGGGATTTGGAGCTACAGAAATAAAATTGAATTCTATTGAACCGGCGGGACGGTGGTGTGGTGGTTAGCAGCAAGAGGGCTCTGGGTTGGAATAGGTGGTGAAATTATAACATCTAAGAAGCAAAAAGGAGTCAAGTTGAGTAGGTTCTCGATTAAAAAATTGGCTCCGTTTACGTCACTCGATCCCGTCCAGATGTTTTATGGGTGGGTGTGTTCCCTCTGTAACATCCCAGGAATGCGAGCGCTTTTCTCCATGTTTCTCCAGTGGAGACTGAAAAGCTTCCTCCCTTCCCCCAACTCAGTTTTTCTTCTCTTTCTCCCCCTGCAGACCCTATTTCGAACTGAAAGCCAAATACTATCTACAGCTGGAGGTATGTATGTTTTACTAATCTTTTAGCATGCTTATTTATGATGGAGGGGGGCGCTGGGATCCCCACTCACCAAAAACAAAAGTTGGGACACACTTTCTCAGTCAAAGAGTTGTTATTATTCTCATGACTAAGCTGCTTTTTTCTTGCCATAATACAAATCCTAACGGTATCTATTAAGTAGGACTATAAGCTGTGTATCCACCTGACTTCTGCACAACACAACTGATGGTCCCAATCCCAATTTATAAGGCAAGAAATCCCACTTATCAAACCTGACAGGGAACACCTGTGAAGTGGAAACCATTTCAGATGACTAGCTCTTGAAAAACATCAAGAAAACACAGAGTGTGCAAAGCAGTAATCAGAGCAAAAGGTGGCTACTTTGAACAACCTCAAATATAAGACATATTTTTTCTGTTGTTTCACACTTTTTCGTTAAGTATGTAATTCCACATACGTTACTTCATAGTTTTGATGCCTTCAGTGTGAATCTACAATTTTCATAGTCCTGAAAATAAAGAAAAGTCTTTGAATGAGAAGGTGTGTCCAAACTTTTGGTCTGTACTGTAAATGTTTTCCATCCATATGAGCAGTTTGTATATATATATATATATATATATATATATATATATATACTATATATATATATATAAGCCATCCTGATTGTACATATGTAACTCAAATCTCTGTGTTACTCCCTTGTATTTCTATTTACTTTAATTGTTTATACTTTATGCACCTTTTCCTCCTTGTTTTGCCTCCTTGTATCTTATCTTATCCTATCTTATCTTAATGTGTCTACCTTTTTAAGTACCTTTAGCCTCAACAATCTTGTACAGTGACAAGCATGCATACTCAGAATTTATTCACTTTAAGCCACACATTAGAGAGTACGAATAATACAATCTCAGATGAACAACATCTCCTTCCACATAAGTTATTGCTTAAATCTTTGATTGACTGATTAGCTGCTTTATAGCCGTTTCATCTCAAAGATCTACGGTGGCTGAGAAGTGCAGAACACATTTAGAAAAAAAAAAAACGTTGAAAAATTAAAAAACAAAATATCATTGTAAGATACACATTCACAATTAAAGAAACACATCCATCCATTTTGTGAACTGCTTATTCCCAAATCGGCGACATGAACAAATGAAAAAACAATATGGCATTTTAAGAAACAAATTCATTTTTTAGGAGACAAACATTTTTGAAAAAAATTGTTTCTTAAAATGTTATGTTCTTTTAATTCGTAAATGTGTTTTCTGAACTTTAAATGTGTATCCTCAAATTTTATTTAGCTTTTTTAAATCATAAGGTGTTTTTTAAATTGTAAATGTGTTTTGAACTTCTCAGCCACCGTAAAGATCTGTATCAGTGGCAGGCTTGTTTATCTAAATATCCTGTTTGTTTGCCTTTAGAAACTTCTTCCCAGTATTCCATGAAGTATATCATTAATTTCCACAGCTTTATTCATGTTTATTGATTTGTATTTCCCCCCCCCCACAGCAACTAAAGCGCCAGGTGGATGAGCGACAGGCCAAACTTGTGGTGGCCAAAGCCGAGTACCGCGCAGCATTGCGCAACCTGGAGAGCATCTCCGAGGAGATCCACGCCCAGCGACGCTCCGTTGCCATGGGAACCAGGGAGCGGGGCGTCGGCGCCGAGGGGGACGAGGACAACGAGGACATCGCCAACTTCAAAATGGAGTCCGACGGCCTGTCGAGTGAGTATGGACGGGACCTGAGGGTCAATGGTCCTGTCCTTCATTAGTCCACTCTGTTTGTATTTTTGGCTTGTTTTGTTTGTGTTTATGTTTATGTTTATGTTTATGTTTGTGCATTTATCCAAAGCGACTTATAGAGTAGACCCAATATTCCATTTCTCATCACTATGACAATAAGCTATACCAGGGGTGCCCACACTTTTTCAGCATGGGAGCTACTTTTGAAATGAGCAATTCAAAATGACTTGAATGAATTATATTTATTGAGAAATATATTGAGGATTCTTACTACCCATTCCGTATGAAAGTTTTCTATCTATCTATCTATCTATCTATCTATCTATCTATCTATCTATCT